ACTGCGTACATTAGTCGCTGAAATGCTGCCGGTGCGTTTTTCAGACCGAATGGCATGCGATTGAATTCAAAGTGCCCATCCGGGGTGGAGAAAGCTGTTTTACTTTTATGTTTTTTGTGCATAGGAATTTGGTGATACCCCGAGGCCAAATCTAGCACGGTGAAATATTTCGCGTTACCTAACTGGTCTAGTATATCAGTTATGTTCGGCATGGGGAATGATTCTCCCAAGGTGAGATCGTTTAGTTTTCGAAAGTCGATAACCACGCGAAATTGCACTTTTCCGGATGCGTCCGGTTTTTTAAGAACGACTATTATCGGCGCGTTCCAATTACTCGTGCTTGGGCTGATTATGCCATCCTCGAGCATCTTTTCTATTTGTTTTTTCACCTCGGCCTTATGCTTCTCGGGTAACCGATAAGGTCTCACATTCACGGGCGCGCTACCCGGCCGAGTATTTATCTCGTGCTCTATTGCGGTAGTCGCGCTTAAATGGTCGCCGTCTATGTAGAATACGTCAAAGTAATCATCACATATTTGTTCTACGGCTGCTCGCTCTTCTGCATTTAAATGGTCGAGCTGTACTTGCTCGCGTACTTTCTTTTGTCGTTCGGCGACGGTCTCGCGCTCGTCGCTCGCGCGTAATGAGAGAACGTCCGCGGTGTCGGGCGGCGGCAAGTCTTCTAGGGTTACATACGGAGTGATTATCTCCACCGGCTTGTCCGTCACATTCAACACGCTAATCGGACACTTAAATTCGACGGGCTGCACTAGGCAATGCCCGATAAAAACTCCTGGAGCGGGTTCGCCGCTTCTCACTATGCCGACACGATTATGGTCAGTGACGGCTTCCACGATTGTTTCACTGTGTGGCGGAAGTCTTACCTTGCGGAAAGGTCGTAGCTTAAAAGAAGTCGAGCCGATTTTTAATCGTTTTTTCGAGTTTGAGATATCCGCTTTGTGCTTGGTGAGGAAATCGTTTCCTAAGATGCCTTGATATTCGATTGGAAAGTCATCTTTCACCACATACATCGTATGGCGAATCTTTTTATCTCTGAGGTTCACAGTGGCGTTTATTTTCCCAATCGTATGATTTTGGTGTCCGGTTACGCCTACTAACGCTAACCGTTCTTCCTTTACCATTGTTTTTCCTTTTAAATTTCCTACTTTTATTAACGTGAGGGTTGCGCCTGAGTCTAGTAACAGGTCCATTTCCCCCTTCTCTGCCTCCTGCACGGGCAGTGTCACTAAGTCTAGCGGTCCTTCCTCATGCTTCTTACTTATCTGTGCAACTCGATAAGTCTCGGCGGCGCGCGCCTTGCTTCTCTTGGGCTTCTCATCCTCCTCGCTGCTGCTGCGGGAGGATGTTTCCTCGCTAGATTCTTGTGTCCTTGTCCTTCTGACAGTACTCACGGGCGTTTTCTTAACTGCTTCCGTTTTCGTTAGGCGCGGTCGCTCGGCTTTCGATCGTCCGTTTAACGACCAGCACTCGTCGCGCTTGTGTCCTGCCTTCTTGCAATACGAGCACTCTATCGTGTTAATGCTAGACTTCTCGGCTTTCGGCAATGCATATCTGTTTGCGTGACGGCTCGTACGGCAATCTCGCGCGTAATGACCGTTTTTTCCGCATTTGTGGCATTCTACCGTTTTCCCTGCGGTTCGCGCATTTATCGCGGGATATTTATTCTTTGCCGTTGCCGGTGCGTTCCGCGGGGAGGGGCCTTTAACTCTCTCCTCCGCGCTGGCGCCTGTTATCGCTTCTTGCAGGCTCTGGTATCGCTGCGCTCTCACTAACAATTTTATGTCATCATGTAATCCAATTTGAAAATTATGCAGCGCTTGAATTTTGATATTATCTAGTATGGCCTTTTGCTGTTCTTGCGTATGACCTTTGCCCTCTTCCATTGCTTCGTAAAGCTCGCGGGCTAATTTCTCGACGCGCCTACCGAAGTCTTGCGCGCTCTTGCCTGGCTTTTGCGTTAGCGAATTAAATTCGAGCTGCAGATGCGTCATGCAGCGTTTCCCTAGATATTCTGACTCGAGCTCGCGCTTCAATTGGTCAAAATCGCGTATGTCGCGTGTATCGAAGTCCGTCATTGCCTTCCCTTTAAATTTCGTGCACAGAATAGCTTCGAGTAGCATCGACTCGTCGGTCGGCTGGACATTCTTTATTGCATACGTGCTCGCGTTTAGGAATTCACGGACACGTTCGCGCGACTCGCCGTTAATCTCGGGTATCATTGCTCGTGCCTCTTTAAGGCTGAGGTACCCGTTAACTAGACCCGGTTGATTCCGGACGTCGCTATGCGTTCGTCCATATGTGACATCTAAAGGGCCCTGACTACGTACGCGGCGGTCTCGCGTGTCGGGATCAAGTGATAGCCGCTCCTGTCGACTATAAGATTCGCGCGTGGCGGATTCCATCCTGCCTACGCGGCCCTGTAACTCGCGAAAAGCGCGAAGAAGTTCGGCCGATCGGTCGAATTCCGCAGCCTCGACGCGGTCCATGCGTTCTTGCATGTCGCGCATTAAATTTACTAAATCGGTTATCACTGCGTCCGGGGCTCTCAGTTCTCGTTGCGTCGGCTCCGGGACTCGATTCTGCTCGTGTGTCGCCGGTCGCCTGACGAGTGGCCTATTTTGCGCCATTTCGGCGTCGCCTTGTTCGGTCACCCTGGCTGGGTCCGTATTTTCCTCGCGGTTCTCTCGGGTAGGAGTCGCGTTTCCTGTATGACTCATCCCGGCCTCCGCGGAATTCTCGTCGGGAACGAATATACTGCTGTCGTACGACGTGAGAGAAAATTCGCCTCGTTGTGACGCGCGGCTTGGCGCGTCGTCGGAGACGTCTGTGAGTGAGTCTGTCTGGTCGTTATCGCGATTTGCGTGTTCGCCTACTACGCTCGCGTCTACTTCGTCGAACGGAAATTCGCGTTCTACAATGACGTTCGGAGATAGCACGGGCGCTTCTCCTTCGGCAAAACGTGACTCTAAATTCAAGCGGACTTGGTCTAGTCCGTCGGCGGGCCGGTCTGACCCTTCGCTTTCGGCGGGCCGGTTTAACCCTTCGCTTTCGGCGGGCCGGTTTAACCCTTCGCCTGCGGATCGCGTCGCGCGCACGGGGTTCTCGAGGTTACGCGCGGCGCGTTGCGCGGACTTGCTATGTATAAATGATGCTTGCGGGACGGGCGGCTGTCGGTTCGGGTCGTCCGACATTTACTTAACGCTCGCGGTTACATAAATTTTCGCACTTACAATATCGCCGCTAATCGCATGTTGCTGCTTGGCTGCTTCGCCTTGCTCCGCCTGGTCAGTCCGTCGGGCCGCTTCGCTGCTTGGCTGCGTCCCTGCGTGATCGCTGCGTCCCTGCCGCGCTGCTACGCTGCGTCGCTGTGTCTCTGCGTCGCTCGGAGTCGGTGATTCCGTGCGGTAGGTCGTGGCCGTCTCAGGTGTCACTTCTGCACTCGCGGCTGCTACCGTCTTTTCGCTCGGGTCTCGGCTGGCTTTTCCTCTCCGGGATATGTTGCCACCGATGTTAATCGAACTCGTTCTTGTTTCAGATGCGTGGTTCTTCGGCAGTCCGGTCCTTCCTGGCGAATCGATGGAGTAGATCCCACCGCTGCCACCAATTTGTTAGCCGTTTTGTCGGCTAAGAGGGATCGGGCTCCGTTCGCGATATGAAGGATGAAGGAAGGCGTTATATTGAACCACTTTAATAAATTGAGTTGCCTTACACGAGTGTCCTTATTACAAGTTCCACTTCGCGTTTCGTTTATAGATAACTCGCAGGTGACTCGACGCGACAGCTTGATGGTTTCAGACCGACTGCCTGATTGTTCGATTCGGCGGTCTTACATCGGTTTCCGGTTGCTACCTCGGGATCGCCCGCGGTAGCATTAACCTCTATGGTCAGCGCTCGGCGCTGACCTTCGCGTCAGCGATATTGGTCCTCGTGGATGGACCTTGCTCTCTACGTTTCGTCGCTGGGGTCGAGTTTCTTTAACGCTTGGCAACTCGGTTGCCAAGGGCGTTGTGCGCTCACAACAATATGTATAAAAAATTATGAGGAAAAATGTAACGCCTGTTCTATTAATTGCCTTCATTGCTCACATTTGATTACGGGAAACCACTTCTCGAAGGCGTCCGCGGCCCCTGCGAATTGGTTTTTCCTTTGAACGCTTATTCGTGGCGTTTTTGGTTGCCCCGATTGCTTGTGTCACGAAATGCCCCGGCGTGATTTTTCCTTATTCATGATGCGTGACTTACAGATAAGAAAAAATACCATAAAATCTATTCGTGCATTATGCTTAGTGAAATCGAGTGACTGAATACAACTTACCGTTTCGGATCTCTTATTATTTTATTCGACAAGAAAACAAATTTTTAGGATTTGAAAAAATGTACTTTGAGCACTTGAAATCAAACTTTCCGTCACTGAGAGAGAAAAATGGTTGACACGCAAATGCCATTCCGTTGGTACCTAGAGGACATTAAGAAACATCTGTGATTGATATTACAGGTTTCTAGCAGCAAGCATTTTAAAGTTAGGCCCGCGACAAAATTTCAGCAGTGTCACGAATAGCCTCGGTTTCCCCTACGGCGAGATAAAGTCGCTGAAACCGTTTGTTACAAAAAGTATCCTACTTTTCCCGGCTCTAGCGCCAAAACTATTGGTCGTAGGAAAAAACCTATATTTCCTTTTTTGTAGAGAATTTAATTCCTTACAATATTGCATTAAACTATTTTAGCCTAAGTCTAATGGAAACCAAGATATTCGCGAAAAACCGATTTTTCACCCCTTTCTTCCAAGATGGCGGCCGAAGCACACCACGGGGGAAATAGAAAACTTAGTATGTCATTACTGACACCCAAATAAAGAGATTAAAATTTTTTGCAGATTTGTCCTAATTAGTCGATTTATTTGTCATTTTTAACGACGACGTGCCGACTGGACTAATATTCCGTCATTCAGATATCTTCTAGATATCTTGGAGATATATTTTGCTGTGTGGGTGTGTCATCGATTCTGCGTATGTTCGAATACGCGTACACGACGCCTTTATTAACGTGCGTTTTCCTTTTTAGCGTTGAGATCTGAACCATACTCTACTCCATACTTTATATAATATATATACCAAATATATATAAAGTATGGATATGAAATAATTTATTATGTGAAAGACCAATAAACATTTGATTGGCAATGAAAAGAACGTGAATTCCTACCTCGACTGCCGATTGACCGCTCCATAGATGTTTTCGCTGTTCATGGCTGATAGTCCATCGCCTCCTCTCTGCTTCTGAGATCGTCGATTGATCGATCGCTGACACGGAGCTCCACTCCTCAGCGACTCAGCACCCTCGTTCTTCGTTTCCGGGACCGCTGATGGGTCACCGTCACGGACTGTGCCCTCCTCAGCGGACTCTGCCCTCCCCCTCCTTAAATTGTCTTTGCGTGTAAGTCCCGGGTAGCTCCACTGTCGACACAAGGTGAGGCACAGGTTGCTTATAATATGGTTACGCTCACTTGGGAAGCGGGCAAGTTGCAGCGTCTCAATAATTCAAAAACTTCTTAAATTATCGTTCTATATAAGTCGCGTTTATTGTCTACTCGAACTAGCGAGTAATGCTTCGTATTATATGTGTGCTAGAGGCGATGGAGTTAGGATTGACAGTGATCCTCCAATTCGAAGAAGGATAATAACCGATAAATCGTTGGTGAGCGACACCTGAGATTCCGGGAATTGACGGAATCTCACGATCGCTTTCAAATAATCATCTTAACGATGCGTGATTCGACACAATAATCACGCTACATACGCTCGAGCCATAATAAATATAAACAATACGAAACACTCTAGATAAAATAAAATACCTCATACAGTACATAAACTTGCGGTAACAGTGTGTGCGTGCGTACGTGCGTGTGTGTGTGTGTGTGTGTGTGTGTGTGTGTGTTTGTGATTTGATTTTAAATAACATAATTTTTATTGTAAAACAAGAAATTGCTTTTAACATTGACTCATAAAAGCTCCATTTCATCTTTTTAAACTATTTATAGAATTTTTTTAAATCAAATACTAATTTTCTAATTCCTACTTGCCTTTTATAAGTAAATTTTTGTAGAAAAAGGATCGTGTTTTTTTAGTATCTAAAAAATATTATATTATGCCTTTATAAGATACACTTGATAAATAGAATGCATAATAATGTAAAATTTAAATTATATTAATTTATAAAATGATATTATTTTACTAAATAATTTATCAAAAATTACGTTATTGTTATTGTATTAGTACATTCGTGTATTGCAATTGTTTTGCATTTTAACGCACTTATTTTAAAGAAGCTAACTTCGCATCTTTTTTTCAGATAACACGAAACTGCAGTACTTTATTAACAATGTGTAAATGGAAAGACACAATTGATCAATGTGACAGATATTTCAAGCAAAGTTTATCACGAGATGGCCTATGCTGCAGTTTTAATTATTACACTTTTCCAGATACAATAACATTGGACAAGTATAAACATTATTTCTGCAGAGTCGAAAGAGAGTTCTTAAGCTTTACGAAATATTTTAAGGTTTATACACAAAATCAGAAAGTTTATAAAAAAATAATATTTTCTTTAATAAGTAAAAGTAAGGATTGAGACAAAAAATTATTTTATAATTTAATTTGTAATAAGAAAAGTCAAAATAGAAAAAAGAGTGTTTAGAATAAAGGTTTTTCCCAATTTTGATATTTTTTGCGGTTGTCTTGCAAAAAAACTTTGTTGTGACTTCGACAATAATAATCAATCGGGGGAGGTCGAAGAATATATGATCTACTTTATTTGCATATTGAAGTAAATGCTTGGGCGGGAAAGAGAGTAAACAAGTAGAGGGTAGAGTGAGATGGACCGCTCTTCGCGTGAAAAGTTAGAAAGTTGGAAACCCATGTGGAATCATTTTATATTAAGAGTAATTACTGTACTTTTAAGTAAAAGAAATTTAGAGTTCTAATAAGCAATAACAAATATTAAGAAGTCCTACAATAGGTCAACATAAAAACTCACTATTCTTATTTACGCGTTGTTCAATAATTATATACATTTTATTTAAATTCTTTTTTGTTAATAACTTTTTAATAAACAACAAGTGACGGCTAAAACCTTTTAAAGGTTACTCAGGAGGATAACTTTGACAACATATGTCAAAGTCAAGGTCATTGGATTTGCTAATGTAAATAATTACCAAAAACATTAATTGAGAAAAGTTACTAAAATTTGCAAAGAAAAAAGGTTTTTTATCTCTCCCGTACAATTCTTCAACTTGACAACAAAATACATTCTTTCGCAAAGAAAAAAATTGAAAACTTTAAAATTGGGAAAAAATCCAAATTTTAAACAATTACCGAAAAAAGTATTAGTCTTTTTATATCTGAATAAAAAGTTAAAAGAGCTTATGAATATTATAGTCCGACTCTGCAAATTCTACAAATAATTATAATACATTATATTTTCCAATTAATATAGATTTTTAAACTGTTAAAGTGTTGAAAGATCTGCCGCCTGCGGATTTGAAACCGGTATGACCATAGTAGTAAATTCTGATCCGAATGATTATCACGCTACAATTATCGGAGCATATGGAGTAAAAGTAATTTAATCAATATTTTCTTACTTATCTATCTAATTTTTAATTAATTGAAATCAACACAAATTAATAATAATTTAATATTTATATATTAAATATTGAAAAATTCAATAAATGGAGGATAATGTTATTTTTGAGACCCCTCAATTTGATAGGTGTGTTTGATAGATCTTTCACTGAGAAAAAGAATGCCGTAAATCACAATGCGCTACGATGCATAGTTTCCGAGATATCAATTTTTAAATGTAATAATAGCAATATTGTTGTACGGTATTACATGGGTTTGCAATTTACCACGCGTGGAAAGTTCACGCATGTACTTTGCAAGGCACACTATGTGTCTAGTTTAACAGTAGTGGAGCCCCCCGCAGAGGGGCGGAACCTACTGTTTCCACGCATACACTTTCCATGCGAAACGAGGTGCCACATGTTCGTGGCGTGCTTTACGAGCTCATTTAAGTAGAGGTGGTATTATAGATTATATAAATTGATATCTCAAAAACTATGCATCGTAGCGCGTTGTGGTTTGCGGCATTCTTTTTCTCAGCGAAAGATCTCAATACACCTATCCAATTGAGGAGCCCCGGAAATACCATTCTTCTCAATAAATGTGATTTTTACTAAAATATTTGGGATTCATTTTTATTTTTAAAATACTTTCAATTATGTCTATTATCTTAAAAAATCAATTATCTTTTGTTTTTATTCATAACATTTTATTTTTATTTATATCTTTTGTTTTAAATAATTAAAGTAAATAATACATTTAGAATTGAGTAATTATATATAATACATAATTATAACTATATATTGTATATCTATAATATTTTTTAGTTAGTTTTTAAAATTAATATTAACATTTGTTTAATTTTTTAAATAAAAATTTTATTGAATATCTTAATCTTAAACGAAATAATATTATATATGTATATGTATTTTCCGCGTGACTGCATATCGTAGGGTAACCGAAGCGAATTGGATCACAGGGCGAATCGGATCAATATAAGTTTTAAGACAGTTAGTGTTTTGTTTCAAACAAACTGTTTTATCGTGCTAATTAATAATTAACGAAAACTATCTTAAAACTTATATTGATCCGATTCACCCTGTGATCTGATTCGCCTCGGACTATCCTATATAAATTCATTTTAATCTAACCAAATTTTTTAATGATTTAAATATTCAAGAAGTTATTGTTAAAAAATAATGGTTCTTTCACAAAAATATCTTAAAATCTCACGTTTATGAAAAATAAAAGTTTTTAAGAATTAAAGTATTTTAATTACATTTCTTCAAAATCAGATTTAGAAATTCATGTTTCTTTACTAATGGATGTAAAATAACTACTATTATTATAACCCTATTGTTATAACAGTGGAAATTGATGTTTACATATCTTACATTGGAATTATAAACGTTATTAAAGCAGATTAACGGAGACGTATATATAAATGTAGTCAAAAGATACCACATATTGAGATACATTTATAAGCTCATTTGTTATTAACACATTTTTCTTCTAACGTGTGTAGACTATTAAAATATCGAGAAAAAGTGTTTGAAATAAAGTGCCTATTTAGTTCCATTGTGTTAAGATTCTAAGAAATCTTTTATATTCTTAGTTTTGAGGCTTTACAACTCGAAGATATTTAGTTTTATTTTTAACTTGTTTTGTGTTATAAATATTTTAAAAATGCATATATTATTATAGTTTGAAAAAAATCTTATTTATTTTAACGACTTAAACAAAGATTATAAATCCTAAGTAATTAAAGGACCCTGCACAACTCTTATGGAAATTGGAATTCGGTGAAATTTACTGAAACTTTTGAAATAAATAGTTTATGTGATGCTGATCAAAAGTTACAATAGGCAAGATTTACAATAATTGACCGTTTAAATCAGAGAGAAACCTGAGAGCGGCCACCGGGATCATTCCGTTCCAGCGAACGTATACTGACGCGCCGCCTGAGAAAGTGGACGTCAACTACGTCGTTACGCTCGGTAACGGTACACACATGGTTCGTGTCCGTGCTATGGTTCGTGTCCGAACTACTCAGATGGAGGGGATATGCTGGTCGCGCAAACCCCTCTCCTGTCCGTGTACGCTCGGCACTCGGCAAGCTTCGAGCGGGGAGAGAAGGACAGACATACGATCTGCTGTCTCCTTCTCTCTTGAGCTGTGACGTTGCCGGCGCGGCGTTGCCGTTAGCACGCGCCGGCTATACCACGATGTCACGCATTTCGGGCGGGTTTCGCGTCTCGTGTCTCGTGTCTCGCCGAGTGCCGAGTCTCGAGTTGGCAAATTGACGATGCGCTATACGTTACATTTGCGTTTATATTTACAAATTTTAATTTTTATATTTATAAATAAATATATATATGTATATATATTAGAAATTTATAAATATATAAAGATTGCAAATATAATTAAATAAATAAATATTTATAAACTTAAAAATTAAAATTCGCAAATGTAATGTATAAAAATCACGGTTTTATACATATGCTTTTCTATCTAAAAAAGTCTTACATTAAAAACCTTTACTTTAGCATAATAATATTTACATGTAATATTTAAATGCATACCAATAATTATATTATTAATTATGAGAAATAATTGTAGTTTATAATGTTCTTTTACTCTTATTAAATTTATTTTACCTATGCATGTTCAATTGGCCAAATTACGGCTAAATTACAAGCAACAACAAAAGAATATTGGATAAAAATAAAAACACTTTATTAAATAAACAATACACATGGGTAACATTTCGACTGTACTTATTATAATTAGTCTTCTTCGGAACGGATTACTATGAATATAAAAGAAGAAGATAAATATTAAAATAATCGATATAAGCGACTCAACTGGCCAATTTCTATTTATTTGTCTCTGTTGAAAAAGGGTTTTGTGTCCCCGCGCTAATTCCGCGCTAATTGCCATGACACCGTAAAGTAGGAACCAGCGGAACAGAATCGAAACGATTCGGAATCGGAACGCGCGACGATGAGCTCGTCCCTTTTCCCCAGCGACCGTGGAAGCGAACGCACGTGCACGGGCGAGCGAGCGAACGAGCGAGCGAGCTAGCTAGAGAGAGCGTGAGAGAGGAGGAGAGAGCGAGATCTCCAGATCGTTAAGAAAAGATAAGTCAATTGTTCATTAACTGTCCGCTTAACGGACGCATTATTTTTCTGCTGAAAAAGCAATTCTCTTTTGTTGTTCTAAGCGATGCGAACC